CGAGGACATCCCCGCACGCAGCAGCACGGATTCCTGATCGAACAGGCCTGTCCGCTTTCTGACGTTCAGCAACCCCGGGGGCAGGATTCTCTCTTTTTTTTGCCCCCCCAAAAAGCAAATGAAGATTAAAGGCAGACAGAGCAGAAGTTCCAGAGGACTCGGGGGCAGGCGCCTGGGCCTCGGGCCGTGTCTGGGGCGAGCTCCCTTCAGAAAGCCGGACAGCTCGCGTGGTGTCTGAACTCCAGGCGGGGCTGGGGGGCTGGGGCTTGAGCACAGGAGGGAGCAGAGGGTTGCTGCCCCAACAAGGTGAGCGGGGAGCCCCCCATGCACCCTGCTGCTAGGCTGACGGGTCCAAGCTGCAGGTGCAGGCCTGGCCTTCTCCAGCACAGCCTCCTGGGGGGCGTGCGGCATCCGCCCAGGTCCCGGCCTGGCTGTGCCTGTCCCGAGGGCGCCGGGTGGGTTGGGCAGAGCTGGAAGGAAAGGAGACCCGCACCTCGGGGGCTGCAGCCTGGACACAGACCCCCCCCCAGCAGGAGGGCTGACAGCAAGGCCTGCTCGCCACTCGGCTCTGCCAGGCCGTCACGGGCATCCCCCACTGTCCACGCCCCTGGCCCTGAGCTGTCGGAAGGGATTCCCTGCAACGGGTAACCCCGGGAGTCCTCTGCAGCCACGAAGGGATCGGCAGGAGCCAACTAGATGCTAAATCTTGGGGTGGAGAGGCCGCTGTGGGGGAGTCGACTTTTTCCTAAAGCCTTCGCGGGGAAGAAACCCGCGGGCGTCTGTGGCGTCTGCGGCGTCTGCTGAAACCTCAGCGGGCGTCTCCTAACTCGCTGCGCTAGCTCAGCCTCTCGAGGACAGACAGAGGCGCGTTATCAGGAAGGTGAGCCTTGCAGGTGTCTCCTAAGCAACCCCGGGAATAGCCGCCCCCCAGAACCACTCGGGCCCTCGCTGCCGTGTCTCAGCAACCTCCCTCCGTGTGCACATTTCCATCCATTTCCCCGCCCCTCGGGGACCCCTGGCCGCCCAGCGCCCGGCCGCATCTCAGGTCAGCGCCACAGTGACCAGGGAGGAACAGGCCCGCTTGTGCGTTCCCTGCTTCCGTCTACACTGCCTGGCGCCCACTGCCCGCACCGCACACAATGCATGTCCCCAAGTTCCAGGACCTTGGCCCGGGAAGGCTCAAGTCTCCAGGGCGGTGGTGGCACTCTGGGAGGTAAAATCCAGAATCCGTGCAGCCGGTGCGGGCCAGGTCCTCCCTGCAAGGCCGGGTGGGTGGGCGGGCGCACGCCGGGCAGGGGTGCACCGGGGGAAGCGCACCGGGTGGTCAGTGGTGCACCGGGCGGGCGTGCACCAAGCGGGGGCGGACCAGGCGGGCAGGTGCGCACCTTGCAGGCGGGGGCGCACCTTGCGGGCGTGCACCAGGCAGGGGCGCACTGGGCGGGCGCACCAGGAGGGCGGGCGCGCACCCGGCAGGGGCACGCCAGATGGGCGCCTAGAGCTGGGCCCTGCGGCCCAGCTTCTCGAGGTCGCACTGGCAGGAGAGGCCGGACGAGGAGCAGCACAGCTGCAGCCAGGGCTTCCACAGCAGGTTGCCCAGCGAGAGCTGGTTGGGGACCTCGGGCAGGGTCTCCGCGTGGCGCGCGGCCGCCTGCTGCATGGTGTCCAGGATCTGCTGGAAGCGGGGCTCGCTGGCCGGGCTCAGGGGGCTCCTCTCCCGGGGGTCTCTGGAGATGTCATAGAGCAGAGGCGGGTGGTGGTGGGTGACGTAGTGGCCGTGGCAGAAACACACGTGGGTGGGGAAGCAGCCGTTGGCACCCTCGGGGGTGAACTTGGGGGTGAAGAAGAAGGCCTTCCAGATGGCCGTGCCTGCGTTCACAAGGACAAGGGGTGAGCCGGAGTGGGGGGGGGGTCAAGGGCTGAATGCTGGGGGGTCGCCCCGGCCAGGACGGAGGGAGCAGACCTCACGCAGAGGGGCTGAGAGTCTCACGGGACCTCCCCTAAGCCAAGGCGAGGGGCTCAGGGAAACCGCAGGGCATGCATTTCTGCTCAGCAGCCAAGAAACACAAGCGCAAACCCCCAAAAGCCGTAGCTGCTGGGTGCAGGCTGGCTTCACTTAACACCACCAGGAAGGAAGCGGGGGACCGAACCCCCTTTCTGTCCCCAGCGGTAACCAACGCTGGGTCACACGGCGCGGCCGGGGGTTCTGCAGCAGCCCGATGCAGCCCCAAGCATCAGCCCGAGGAAAAACAAGCTTTCTCGGCGAGGCGAGAGCTGAAACAGCCCATCAAGCAGGCCCGTTCCCTGCAAAGCCGCGGCTCGGCTGTTTGAATTTCCAGCCCCCCTTATCTGCCACTTGGGAAAGAAGGGACCTCCGGAAAAGCTAGACAGGAGCACGCACTTTCAGAATCCTTGCGGGGATCCGAGGGCTTTGTCTTGTGATTTTTTAAACTGAGGCTTTCTAGCTTCGTCCCTGGGGAGAAAAGTTTCCAGCAAACCTGAGCTGTGAGCACAGAAGAATTTATGAGGCCCTGGGGCTGGGCACCAAGATGGCCACAGGCCACGGCTTTCCGCGTGGCCAGCTGGTGCAGGTCCCTTTCATTAACGGGAGTGCCTGTTTGAAGGGCCGCGCGCATCAGCGCGAAAATATATGCCCCAGAATCCCGGAGCCAAGACCTACCTGCCTGCGTGATCCATTTCGCCCATAAAATCAAGTTGTCACGCGGGGAATTTTTAATCACATCGATCCCGATGTCAAAACGCAAAGCTGGTATTTTTAATACCCATAGAACAGGCCGTTTTCTCTCAAAATGGCCATTTCGGTGCAAGCAAGGTCATCCACGTTCTGGTAATGATCGCGCCAGTTCTCTTAAAAGGGAATCAGGAGATCCGAGCGTGACTGAATGAGGCCGCTCGACTCACCGAGGCCAGCGGATGCCATCGCCCTAATTCCTTACGCAGGGGGAGCGACAGGATGACAAATTCCACCCCCGGGAGTCCTCCCGGCGACAGAACCCCAGACTCACAGAGGAGACACCGCACTCAAAGGTCGGACGAGATGCGGGTTTGAAAACGGGGAGCAGAGAAATGTCCCTCTGGGGTGCTGCAAAACGGCCCCCCGGCAAACCTGCGGTTGCAGGACTGAGGCCTCCGACGAATCGGGAGACACAGTCGTGGGATGTTAAGGGCCTTTCTGGCTCGCTCTGGCTTCTGGGTGTGTTCACACGGGCCTTGTGCGGGGAAGACCGCGTGGTGACGGCAACTGCCAATTGCTCTGGTGTCAACACGCCCAAGGTGCTGCACGCAAGCTGCCCGCCCTGCCTGCGCCCGTTCCAGCACACGCTGCCTGTTGCTAACCCCGCGTCTACACTTCTCTTGTCTCATCAATTACTCGGGGTTAGTTCAGGTGGCAGCCCTGTTCTCCCCAGGAATTCCGGAAAGTGCCACACCCGACAGCATCGATCTGCCTGGGTGCATCTGCGACTTCCCGAGGAGACTCACCTCCCCCAGTGCTAATTCCACCTGTTTCTCTCGCTGCCAGGGAACCCTGCGGATGGAGCCACGAGCTCCTTCTGCAGCCGCACCCCGGGAATGTGGCCTGTCTTGCTGACGGACGCCCCTCCAAGCACAGCAGGCACCGCGGAGCAGCGCAAACACGGAGCCACGGAGCGGAAAACCACAGCGGAAGCGTGTAGCCGAGAACCGCCAGGCCACAGGCGACAGCCAAGCAGCGCTGTGGCCCCCCAGCTGCAGGGAGAACCGTGTCTGATCAAGACGCGGTCTCTACATGAATGGTTGCAGCGCGGGGACAGCTCCCCGCCCCTCTGGCACCGCGACGTCCAGGCAGAGGGTTTAAAGTCCTGCCGGAAAACGCCACGTGTCTGTCTTGGGAGCAAATTTTATCCGGGGCCATTTGCCCGCCAGAAACTGGGGCTTGTTTTTCTTCTCACTCCTACTTTCTCTCTCTCCCTGTCCCTTTCCTCTTGACTCCTCCATAAATATGTCTCTCCAGCCCCTGAACCCACATGTTCCTTCCGGCTAATCCAACGAGGGTGTGCGGGGTGGCTTGAATTCGGTTCGAGAGTCGGGTGGGGAGACTATTTTCCAGAACAGTCGGCGCACACTCTGGGTTTAGAGCCGAGAGGTTACCATCCCAACAGAGTGGCGTCTCAAGCAGCAGAACCCCAACATGCGCTGGACAAGACGGGGTTCCATTTAACTCCCTTTGCGGGCACTGGAACCCCAACATCAGTGTCCTTCCCAACCAAGGACAAGATTCCCGCGAGGCCCCCCAGAGCCCGTGACGTGAACGTTACTGCAACAGAAGCTTCCAGCAGCTGCAGAAGCTGTACCCCAACCTCATCGCCACACCAGCATTAGAACCCGGGTCCGTCACGGGAGTTAGAAATGCACCCCTAAACTTGCTGCGACTCAGAGACAGCACAGCGGAGACCCCCGCGTCGGGAAATAAACGACAACGGAATCACCTGGACTTTGTCTCAAACACCTGAACTTGCAGATCCTCGTGGGCCATGACCGAGCAGGTGGGTGACGCCTGCTGGCACCTCTGGGCTCGGGAGGTAAGTGGGTGTATTGATGTGGGAAGCCACCCGCACCACGGCCCGGGCAGAGGGGGCGGCGGGGTATGGGGGTGAAGAGCACCGTGCGGGAAGGAACAGAAGCCCCCCATGCAGGGGAAGCTGCGGGGGCCGTCCCCAGCCGTGCAGCGCAGACGGGCTGTTGGCGGGAATGCACGGAGGAGCCAGGCAGAAGCAGCCAGCGACGCGGGAAGCACCTGAGCCCCACGCCGAGAAGGAGCCGTCCTCACGGCGTGATAAACAGCCACGCTGAGCGAGGCACAAGCGTGGACGGCAAGGAACACGGAGCGTGCGCAAGCAGAGCGGAAAGCAAAGCCCAGTGGCTCCACGGCTGCCCGGTCATCTCATCGACGCGCCAGGCCCGGCCGCGGGCAGCCCTGGAAACACGCCCGGGCGTCTACTCACTGTTCCTGGGGTGCCAGCGCACGGCGTTCAGGTAGAAGTTGCAGTAGTGGAAGAGGAACTCGTGGTCCGACTGCTGGGTCTGCCCCCGAAGCAGAGGCATCAGGTCCCGCCCATCGATGATTCTGTTGGAAGAGCGGGTGGGTGTCAGGTGGGGGCGGCCCCACCGTCACGGGGCTCAGAGGCCCCGGCTCTCCGAGCGTCCCGGAGCCAACAACAGCGTGGCTGACGGGCCACGTGGTCATAATTAAGTCTCCGACTCCAAGAACTCAGCCTGAGCCCAGCTGGGCGCCATATGCAATTAGAGCAGCTGAACCCATTGGATTCTCCCAACAGCACCACCAAGGGGGGCCGTCACCATCCCATGAGGCCGGGGAGCCGGACGCCAGAAAGTGTAGCTCATAACAGGCCAGGAGGAGCCCCTGGGGTGAAACCAGGGGCGTGGACAGCCAGGCCCTCCCCTAGACCCACCTCCCTGTCATCTGCTCAAAGGGATGACCTTCTTCATGAACTCCAGGTCTCCTGAAAATTAAAAGACCTCCCGTGGGCCGAGCGGGGTGGGGTCACCCCAACAAATGCATTTCTACGTAGAGTGAATGTGTCAAGAGCAACGATGCTGTCCAGCACCCCCAGGGCGGGTCTTTCCAAAGGCAAACGTCTCTCTTCTGCGCTTGGCTGTTGCACCCGGTCAAGAAACCCAACCAAGCAGCGGTGGGGGCGCAATACGACTGGCTGGGGCTTAAATCCAGGGGGACACTCTGCAGGAAATGAGCAGGTATCGGGGCAGCTGAGGTCGGCGGCGGCATCAAGTCAGGCCCGGGGCGACGCGGGGCACGAGCTCATGCAGAAGGCGCAGGCGGTTTGGGCCCCGCCGCCGTCACTGCCGACACCACGTACTGAGGCGCTGGGGGCCGAACCTGCTTCCATCATCGGGGTGCGCCTTCTCGGGCGGTCCCGCGTCCCCCGGGTGTATTTTCTCCGGGTGTATTTCGGCACCACGGAAAACCCTGTCACGGACCGACAGCCTGGCTGCTTCGACCCGCCGAGGCCGCAGCCCTGGGGATGAATCACGCCCTCGGCCGACGCCCGCGCCCGGAAAACATCCTACTATTGCAGGTTAAAGACAAGCCGGCTGCTCGCCCGAGCCCGGCCCGCTCACACTCGGCGCGGGAGGCGGCCGGGCGGGGAGGCGCTGTTCAGCCGCAGCGGGGCCTCTGAAACCCCGTTTCCAGCCCCGAGAGGCAGCCCCGGAGTCTGAGGCCCCTCGGGTTCGTTTCAGGGGAGACTCAGCCCCTCAGGATGTGAGGTGCTGGAAGGGCCGGAGCCCGCGAGGGACGGGCGCGCGGGTGGAAGCCGGAGACGCCGGCGAGCAGGGGAGCTGCAGCGCGGCCGGGGCGGGCGCCTTCCGAGCCCCTCCAGGCCGAGACGGGGCCCCGGCTCACCCCCCTGAGCCCACAGAGCTCACCGCAGGACACGGACCAGCTTTCTGGACATGGGTGTCGGCCGGAGGCCCCGGCCCCGGGCGCGGCACACAGAGGTTGCACGGAAAGGCAAAGGAGGACGCCCGGGCTGGCGAGTATTTCTTTTTCCCACCGTAGAGCAAAATTCGCAGGATTTCCGAAGCCGCCGGCAGCGTGGCCCGCGCGCCTCTGTCTTGAAACGCAGACACGGGTCTCCTTTTTTTAACATCCCGCAGCGGACGTGCTCGACCCGGAGGCAGGGCTCCGCCACGCGTGCAGGGGGTGCGCCACACGGCGTGGCGGACACAGGTCCCGCCGGCCCCCCGAGCGCTGCAGGGACCCTCCTGCTCACACTTCTCAGGGTGTGCAAGCCCCGCAGCTGCCTGGTGTCCCGGGACGCCGCGACACGCCCCTTGAGATGCTTTTTGTCTGCAGAGTGACGCGGCGCCTCCGGCTCCCGACGCGCGGGGAGCTGCACACACGGGCCGCGTCCGGCCGCGTGTTTCCGAATCCCAGGAGGAATCCGACGGCAGGAGGGAAGTTTCTCCGGGCAGAAAACGGCGTGTCGGGAGCACCCTTTGCACTAAAACGACCTCTTTCTGCCCCAACCGTGTCTCCAGCCGCCCCTGGCATCGCGGGAGAAGGCGGGTTGTGCCTGTGTGCTGCGGGGAGCGACGCCGAGTGCATCTGGGGAGACTCCTGCGTGACAGTCCCAAGCACGTGGTGGCGGGCCCTGCTTCCGCGGGCAGGCGAAGTCCCCACCGTGCCTGGACACGAGGCAACTGCCTTCCTGCTGGGCCCGTGGACGGGGAGGTTGTGCCTTCGAAGCTGCGAGGTGAGGGGCCTCCTCCCGGCCCCGCTGCACGCTCGGCACCCACACTCTCCTGGCCCGTCAAGCCCGCGCCGGCCGGGGCCTCCTGCAGGCTCGTCTGCAGACCGACCTCACCGTGCTTGCAAGACAGGGTCTGCTGAACAGGAGCCTCCCTTCCCCCCAAAGCTGCCAGAAGGCACCGGGGCCCCTCAAACACGGGGGGCTCAACCCAAAGGAGTGGCTCTCCTGAGAGCGTCCATGCCAGACCCCTCACGGGACGCCCGTCTCAGCAGCAAGGCGAGAAGACGGGTGATGGATGGTCCCAGCATCAGTTTCCAGATGCCGGCGCTGGGAAGTTTCCCTGGGGTCCCCCCCAGCTCAGCCTCCGCACACACTGGGGCACGTCGGCGGGGCCGTTGGGCACACGGTAGGGTGGTCACGCACCCCGGTCCCTGAGCGCGGAGTCGAGGAAAGCAACGTTGACAGATGTGACAGAGGTTCCCGGGGCAGGAAGGGTCAGTCCCAAGGAGAAAGGTCGCCAGAGAGGGTATCGTTGGGTTGCCCTGGGTCGGATCTCGGGGTGATACCCGTGTCTCCGAGGGTCTTGACCTCAAGTCGGAGAGGCCCTGGTTGGGTTGACCTGGGTCAAATCTTGGGGTGATACCTGTATCTCAGAGGGTCTTGACCTCAAGTCAGAGAGCCATGGTTGGGTTGACCTGGGTCAAATCTTGGGGTGATACTGATACCTGTATCTCAGAGGGTCTTGACCTCAAGCCAGAGAGGGTGTTATTGGGTTGACCTGAGTCAAATCTTGGGGTGATACCCGTATCATATAGGGTCTTGACCCCAAGCCAGAGAGGGCAGCGTTGAGTTGACCTAGGTCAGATCTCGGGGTGATACCTGTATCTCAGAGGTTCTTGACCTCAAGCCAGAGAGGCTGTCATTGGGTTGACCTGGGTCAGATCTCGGGGTGATACCCGTATCTCAGAGGGTCTTGACCTCAAGCTGGAGAGGCCGTGTTTGGGTTGACCTGGGTCAGATCTTGGGGTGATACCCGTATCTCAGAGGGTCTCGACCTCAAGCTGGAGAGGCTGTCATTGGGTTGACCTGGGTCAGATCTTGGGGTGATACCCGTGTCTCAGAGGGTCTTGACCTCAAGCTGCAGAGACCATGGTTGTGTTGACCTGGGTCAAATCTTGGGGTGATACCCGTGTCTCAGAGGGTCTTGACCTCAAGTCGGAGAGGCTGTCATTGGGTTGACCTGGGTCGGATCTCGGGGTGATACCCGTGTCTCCGAGGGTCTTGACCTCAAGTCGGAGAGGCCGTGGTTGGGTTGAATTGGGTCAAATCTTGGGGTGATACCCATATATCAGAGTGTTTTGACCTCAAGCCAGAGAGGCCGTGGTTGGGTTGACCTGGGTCAAATCTTGGGGTGATACCCGTATCTCAGAGGGTCTTGACCTCAAGTCAGAGAGCCATGGTTGGGTTGACCTGGGTCAAATCTCAGGGTGATACCCATATCTCAGAGGGTCTTGACGTCAAGCCAGAGAGGGTGTCATTGGGTTGACCTGGGTCAGATCTCGGGGTGATACCTGTATCTCAGAGGGTCTTGACCCCAAGCCAGAGAGGGCAGCGTTGGGTTGACCTAGGTCCGATCTTGGGGTGATACCCGTATCTCAGAGGTTCTTGACCTCAAGCCAGAGAGGCTGTCATTGGGTTGACTGGGTCAGATCTCGGGGTGATACCCGTATCTGAGAGGGTCTTGACCTCAAGCCAGAGAGGCTGTCATTGGGTTGACCTGGGTCAGATCTTGGGGTGATCCCCACATCTGAGAGGGTCTTGACCTCAAGCTGCAGAGACCGTGGTTGGGTTGACCTGGGTTAAATCTTGGGGTGATACCCGTATCTCAGAGGGTCTTGACCTCAAGCTGGAGAGACCATGGTTGGGTTGACCTGGGTCAAATCTTGGGGTGATCCCCGTATCTCAGAAGGTCTTGACCTCAAGCCGCTTCACGGCGCCAGCCACTTTAGGACGCATTAAGGCCGATTCCAAGATCCAGGGCCGGGGACGGACGCAATCCGGGATGGGGGTGCTGGCTGGATGTGAGGACAGACTTTTGAGGAGCCAGTGTCTTGTCCTGTCCTGTGGAAAGGAAGCCTTGGCCCAGAGTAGCAGCTCTCAGAGCCCCCTCAGCCCTCCAATGCTGTGACTCGATGGTGCTGGGGGAATATTACATGTGAGCGACATAGAACTGCAGCCGTGCAGGCGGGAGACACGATATTCCAGCACCTCCACGCTGTCGTCCACCTGCTCCGGATCCGCGGTCAGCATGGTGTCCAGGAGCCTCCGCACGAGGAGCCATAAGTGGGTCAGTAAGTCAGGCCCCTGGGCCAGAGGGAGGCTGAGGTCCGAAGCCACGGAGCGAGGTGCTAGGATTTCTCCTCTGGGCTGACACCGGCCACTCTCCAGTGGGGTGCGGAGGCCAAGGCAGAGCCAAGGACGGTTCAGGAGAACTACGAGCTCAGGAGCGTGTGCACAGACATGCGAAACCCTCTGCCTTCGCCTGTGGCTCCTTAAAGGCTCACAGTGGACTGCCCAGCGGCTGCATGGTGGGGACATGGTGCCCTCAGCGTCTCAGCCAGTGGGCAGTGGCTGGACTTCATGGCAGGGACACGGCGCCCTCAGCGTCTCAGCCAGTGGACAGTGGCTGGACTTCATGGTGGGGACACAGCGTCCTGAGTGTCTCAGCCAGTGGACAGTGGCTGGACATCATGGAGGGGACATGGCACCCTCAGTGTCTCAGCCAGTGGGCAGTGGCTGAACATCATGGAGGCGACATGGTGTCCTGAGTGTCTCAGCCAGTGGACAGTGGCTGGACTTCATGGTGTGGACACAGTGCCCTCAGCGTCTCAGCCAGTGGGCAGTGGCTGGACTTCATGGTGTGGACACAGTGCCCTCGGCGTCTCAGCCAGTGGACAGTGGCTGGACTTCATGGTGGGGACACGGCATCCTGAGTGTCTCAGCCAGTAGGCAGTGGCTGAGCATCATGGAGGGGACATGGTGTCCTGAGTGTCTCAGCCAGTGGACAGTGGCTGGGCTTCATGACAGGGACACAGAACCCTCGGCATCTCAGCCAGTGGACAGTGGCTGGACCTCATGGCAGGGACACGACACCCTTGGTGTCTCAGCCAGTGGACAGTGGCTGGACTTCCTGGCAGCAACACGGCATCCTCAGCGTCTCAGCCAGTGGACAGTGGCCGGACTTCACGGCGGGGACACGGCGCCCTCGGCGTCTCAGCCAGTGGCCAGCGGGAAGCAGCTGAGCCGTGCAGCAGGCTGGAGGCCCCCGAGGGCGGCAGGCAGCAGGGGACGGGCAGACCGGCGGCTCTGGGCCGGCTGGCAGCTGCGTTTAAGGGAGATTTGCAGCCGCCCGCGTGACATCCGCCTGGCCTGCCACCCGGCTAATGAAAACAATTAATCAGCGTGCGCCCCTAAAACTCCTCGGATTGGCAATAACACTTAGGAAGGAGTCATTGGCAATGTCATGGCAACTTGTATTTAAATTTAAGGGAAAGACATTTCATTTAGAACACGCTAAGTGACGCCACCCCGGGAGGCACGGCTCGTGGCGGGGGGACCAGCTGCCTTTCCGCTGCTGCAGCTCAGCCTGTGGGGCCGGCGGGGAGGCAGAGGGAGGGTGCAGGGGAGCACGGCGGGGAGGTCGCCGGGGACAGGCAGGTGCCATCCTCGGCAGGGTCAGCACCACGCCCAGCCTGAGACCGCCCACCCCATGGCGCGGGGAGCCTGCCGGGCGGGGTGACCGAGGGCAGCGGGGGTGCCTACCTGTCTGCAGGGAGCTGGGCCCCGGCCAGCTTGACCACCGTGGGGAACACGTCCATGTTGCTGGTGGGCTGGTCGCTCTCCAGCCCCGCGGGGATCACGCCCGGCCAGCGCAGGAGGCCCGGCACCCGGATGCCTCCTTCCCAGTTATTGGCTTTGCCCCCTGCAATGCCAAGAGAGGGGGGCAGTCAGTCACACCTCCTCGCGCCACGCCAGGGCTCCCCGGGGGAGATGGTGGGGTGGCGTCGTGGCGGGAGATGCTGAGACGGAAAACTCAGCCGTCACGGCAGGCGGCCGGCGGTCCAGGGTGCAGGCGAGGGACGTGGGTAACCAGCCAGACACATGGCGGATCTGGGGGCCGGGAGCTCGTTCCGCCGAGCTGTTCATCAGTGGCGGTGGCACAGCACCCCAAAGGCCACAACCCCAAACAGGCCCCCGACACCGTCCAAGAGGGGCTGATTCTGGCTCCTCGGTCTGGAGTGACAAGGGTAAGACGGAGGCAGGCACGGGAGCCACTGAATCAGGGGTGCACTGAGAGGGACTGGGGGCCCCCCATGCTGGCCTTGGACACGGAGAACCAGCTCAGCCTCTGGACACTGCATAAGCCACGGAGACAGACTGTCCACGCGGCCTCCTGCAGGCCCAGGCCCCGCCCACCCCTTGGCTTGCTGCCAGCTTGGCATGGTGACCTCCGATTGATAAGATAATCAATGCTCTCGCGTGGCGTCCAGCGGCCATGGAGAGTGGACACGCCTGCTCTGCATGGGCCGTTCTCTGCAGCGTTCCCACAGGGGTGAGCTGCTGTGGACACAGCAACAGGGAACACGGCTGCAAAATGCCTTGCAGGGGCTTCCCTGGTGGCCTAGGGGTCAGCCTCTGGCTATCACAGCAACGGCCTGAGTTCGATCCGCGGCCAGGGAGCAACCCACAGGGCACAGCAGACCTCTCCTGACTTGCCAGCTGCTCCCCTCAGCAGTCAATCTGCCTGTTCTCGGGGCCACTCAGAGCCCCAGGAAGGCTCAGCCCCGCCTGGGGGTGGGCAGGCACCAGCTGTGCCCCCCTCCCAGGACCAGCGTTCAGCACAACCTGGACACCTCAGGGTAGGGACTGGCCTCTGCCACGATGCATGACACTCTCAGGCTCGCAGCCCTCGGGGCTTAGCTTCCACCCACAAACAAAAGCTGTCACATTTTTCATGGCTGCGTAGTATTCCACAGTGTCTTCCTGATCCAGTCCTCTGCCCATGGGCACTGAGGTGGCTTCCATATACTGGTTATTGTGGAACCTCCTCCAGTGGTTCCACGCACTGGCTATTGCAGATAATGCCCCGTCCAGCTCCCTGCTGGACATCATGGCCAAGGAGTGGCATTTTCATGGCTGCATAGTATTCCATGGTGTGGCCAGACCCTGTCTTCCTGATCCAGTCCTCTGTCCGTGGGCACTGAGGTGGCTTCCACACACTGGCTATTGTGGATAATGCCCCGTCCAGCTCCCTGCTGGACACCATGGCCAAGGAGTGGCATTTTCATGGCTGCGTAGTATTCCATGGTGTGGCCAGACTGTCTTCCTGATCCAGTCCTCTGTCCGTGGGCACTGAGGTGGCTTCCACGCACTGGTTATTGAGGATAATGCCCTGTCCAAATCTCTGCTGGACATCATGGCCAAGGAGTGGCATTTTCATGGCTGCATAGTATTCCATGGTGTGGCCAGACCCTGTCTTCTTGATCCAGTCCTCTGTCCGTGGGCACTGAGGTGGCTTCCATGCACTGGTTACTGCAGATAATGCCCCGTCCAGCTCCCTGCTGGACATCATGGCCAAGGTGCGGCATTTTCATGTCTGCGTAGTATTCCACGGTGTGGCTAGACCCTGTCTTCCTGATCCAGTCCTCTGTCCGTGGGCACTGAGGTGGCTTCCATGCACTGGCTATTGTGGATAATGCCCCTGTCCAGCTCCCTGCTGGACACCATGGCCAAGGAGTGGCACTTTTCATGGCTGCATAGTATTCCACGGTGTGGCCAGACTGTCTTCCTGATCCAGTCCTCTGTCCGTGGGCACTGAGGTGGCTTCCACGCACTGGTTATTGAGGATAATGCCCCGTCCAAATCTCTGCTGGACATCATGGCCAAGGAGCGGCATTTTTCGTGGCTGTGTAGTATTCCACGGTGCGGGCAGCCTCTGTCTTCCTGATCCAGTCCTCTGTCCGTGGGCACTGAGGTGGCTTCCACACACTGGTTATGTGGCTAATGCCACATCCTCTCACCTGCTGGACGTTTTGAAGGACACACAACTCAGATCGGGGGTCAACTCAGAGGCAGCCTACGAGGCACCCCGAGGCAGCCTACGATGACTCAGCAGACTGTTTCGCATCATGAAGTCAGAAATCACACCAAGCGATATGGACACAGGATGCCAAGAAGATAAAACACAAACAGACGAAGGCGTCTGGCTTTTCTTTTCTGAAAACGAGCGGGACGAAGCACCTAAGGAGCCTCCGGTGGTCCCGAGACCTCAGGGCGCACGCCGGTGCTCCCGTCCCCTCGGGGAAGCACACGGGACGGCGCGGCTGAGTGACTCCACCTCCAGGGAGCGCCCAGGAGACTCCGGCCCAAAGAAATCCCCCCGGATGTCACTCCACGGCCGTGGCAGGGGCTGGAGAACATCCTTTCGCCGAGCCGACGCGTGTCCACCCGCAAAGGGGTGGATATCGACGCAGGACGCCCAAACCCAAAGTCACCTGAGCCCAGGGCGGGCAAACGATTTCTCCAAAGAGCCAGGGGATGAGCAAATAAATGCCGGGGCTTCCGCGGCCCGCGGCTCAGCTCCGCTCTGCTGAAGATGGCCACCGAGACACCCAGCGATGACCCCGGCGTGGGCGTCTGTCACATGTTCCCGACAGAGCCAGGGGTCGGGCTGAGCCGCGTTCTGAGCTGCTGGATTTACATCCTGGGTCTAAGGTGGCGGCATCGCCTCCTCCCCAACATCAACTCCTTGAACTGCTGATGTCTTCAGCGAGAGCGAGAGCGAGAGCGAGACCCCCAATCCACAGACGGGGCTGGAATTAGCGCTAACGGGGCCTGAGTCTGTCTCCGCTGCCCAACGTGGCCTCTTGGGCCAGCTGAGTTTCCTGCAATGGTTTCCACGTCCATCCCACAGGCAGGTGCGGGGCCCGTCTCCACGTGCCTTGACCTCCCAGTGCCAGCCCTGCCCAGCACACCCCCTAAACAGAGCAGAGGCACCCCAGGGCGACACCTCAAACATCTTCCAGAGGCGAAGAAGCCATGGTGGGGGGCGCCTGAAGACCACGGCCAGCAGCACTGGGCAGCCCCTGCAGCCCCAGGGCAACCGATGAGCGCCTCGGCCAGAATGTGGAGCTAGAACTGGACAGATGCACCTGCTCGTAACTCGCCGGGGCCTCCTGCTGCTCTTTGTTCCCTGCAACCCAAGCAGGGAGCTCTGGGGGCTCCTGCGGGCTCGGGCGGATGCAGCCCACTGACATTTGCAACCAAGGAAGAGGCAGGGCAGAGCTGGGGGTGCGTGGAGAGTGTCCTCCAGGGTGACCTTGGGGGTGGAGAAGCAGGTCAGGAAAGCAGAGCAGGGTCCCGGCCCCTCATGCATCCGCTCGAAGGAACACCGTGAAGTCCTGAGAACAGGCTCTGCTCCTCCACCCTAAGGGGCCTCACGGCGCTGCTGCGGCCACTGGGAACATCTGGGCGGCCCGGGAGGCCTCTTCTAGAAGCTTCTCAGAAGTCAACCTCTCTTCCACAGTGACCTGCGAGATCTGTTGCCGCCGAGGCTCCCCACAGCCTCCCCGGCCCGCCTGCTCCTCCTCACACCGAGGCCTTGGCCCCAGGGAAATCTAACGAGGCCCAGTCACCGCAAACACGCTGGGGTTTCGGAAAGGAAGATAATGAGGGAGGCAACCAGGGGCTGGACTGTCCCTTCCCTGCCCTCTGCTTAAATCCTCTTGTTTGTAAGGCAGACGCCCAGCAGGGCTGCAAAGTCCCTCCAGGTAGAAGCAGTAACCTGTTGGCTCCTGGGCAGCACTGACCACAGCCTTTTTCCATGCAGGTGGCCCAGATTTCCCGGGGCCGTGGGCTCCGGGTGTGAGGCTCCGAGCACGCCAGACAAGGGCGGACGTCCCTGCGGCTCAGAAACAGGCTGTCCACTCGGGTGGAACGGCCGATTCCTCGGAAGGAAGCAGGGTGGGAAGCCAGGAGGAGCCTGGGGGAGGCCCGTGGGGCAGAGGCACATGAAGAGGCTGCACCTGCTTCCTGGCCGTGGCTCGTGGAAGCCGACGTGGGGGAGGCCTGTGGGGCGGCGACCTCGACTTGCGTTGGGATTTTTCTCCTGGGCTCCTGCCCCTCCCCTGGCTGGACGCTGACCCCGAGGGGGCGGGTGATGTTGGTGTTTCACGGGGAAACTGCTGCACACGGATCGTGTTAAAGCTCCTCCCCGTGGAAGGTCTTGCACGCGAGAGAATGTTTTGTCTTGACGCGGTGGGGGCAGAACCATTTAGAGCAGGCAGGTTTGGGGGTTCTGGGGTGCCCCCTCCCCTGTCCTGTACAGACCCCGTCTGTCTACCCAGCACCCACCACCGACCTTGAGCTCCACGCTCCGTATTTATTGTGGCCTCCGGCCCGAAACCAGAGGCGCTATTCCCTCGCTGAGCCCTCCTGAGTCGACGGACGGTGAAAACACCCTGTATTTACCACCCCCTCTTCTCTTTGGGGGTACATTCTGAATCTCTAGGGTGCATGAGGCCTCCTTACAAGAGGACAATGTTAAAAATAGCAAGAATAGGCCCAGGATGGAGCAGCTCACTGGCCCTGCGGGGCGAACCCCCCTGGAGGCTCAGCCCTTCCCGCTCCAGCCGGGCCACCTGCAGGGGAGCTCCACCTGCCAGAGGACCCCCAAAACTGAGTCCCCGGCCCTCGGTCTGCCTACAAACACCCTCCCTTCTAGGTGAGCCCTGGTAGGACGGACCTACAAAGCCACCTCATTCACGAACCTCTTCAAAGGGCCAACCACGCCTCGGCGCATCCCAGCCTTCGGAACGACTCTGCCCCTTTCCGCTGGCCAGAGGTGGCGGCCACTGGCCGTTCCCCGCCTCCATGCCCGCACCTCAGTCACACAGCGCCCGTGTGCACAACAGGCGTGGTTCATCCCAGCTGCCTCTGCACGCCGTGTATGTGCAGACGCGGCACGTGCAGGCAATTCGGGGTCCGCGGCCGGAGCTCATCAGACACCCCTGCTGACCGCACGATGCCCGGTCCCTCCCGGTGGTGGCGGAGCTGCGGCCGTGTCCCGGGGAAGGGCAGCTCGGCACAAGGCTGCGGAGCCCTCCCGGTCACATCCCCTGCCGTGGCCGAAGGGGCTTTGCAGAGGCGACCACCAGGGGCCCCGCAGTGGACCGGGAGGCGGATGTGTGAAAGGCGTGAGGTCTGGGCGCCCGGGGAGGGGCCTCGAGTCCGCACCGATGCATTCAGGACGCGAGGAGAGAGCAGGAGCCGAGGCGCTCTGTGCCAGGGGTCGGGGCTTGGATTCCATCGGCCACAGAGCACGGGGCTGTGCCCTCTGCAGGGAAGGTGGCCACGTGGGCAGAAGTGGCCAGCAAGGGCGTCCGGCGCGTCTCACCTTTGTAGATGCCGTTGCTGCCGCCATGGACCTCGCCCTTGGCCGTGACCTCCTCCACGTGCGCCCCCTGGTCGGAGGAGAAGTACACGAGGGTGTTGTTGCTCAGTCCCAGCTCCTCCAGGACATCCAGGACCTGGCCTGTGGGGAGAGGACACGCTGGTGACAGCAGCTTGGCGTGGGCAGGAGAAGGACAAGGCGTATCCTCACATTTCCTTGTCCACTGTGTCCGTGCACGGGCTGCGGTCACCAGGAGGCCAGTGTGCAAGGCCTCCTGCCCCGCGAGCAGCTGACTCAGCCATGAGTGGACGCTGCGGGCAGCAGGGGGATTCTGTGGAAAGACCCCTTAGCACGTTCTACGAGAATCAGTCTCAGCATGTAAGCCGCGGGCTGCGAGGGTCAGAAGACAGAGACCACGCTTTGGCGGCCACCGGCTGCCCACCACCCCGAGGCCTGAAGCGTCCACTGTCGTTCCTCACTGACCGGGAAAACCCAGTTGTCACCATTGCTGTCACATCAGCAAATACGTCTCGTCCGTCCGCAAGTACTGGACGGTGGGCGGCGGCCCTTCGACACTCCGGCCGTCAAACCGCCCACCCTGAGTCGGACAGTCCTCGCACCGGCCTGGCCCTCTCCTCCGCCCTGCACATCTTGCACGTGCCCAAGCAGTAACCCCTCCCCGCCCAAGAAAATACCGTCCACGTCACTAAGAGTCATGCATCGAGCCGGAGACGCAGAGCAGGAAAAAGACCCCGATTTGGAGCAATCTGCAGAGAGCGTCCTGATGCAGCCCCGTCTCCGTATTTGTGGGTACGGGGTGCTGACTGCACCGACGTGAGCTCACAGCAGCTCAGTGCGGGCGAAACATCCCCGTGCGCTGAGGCCTCCCACACCCCGTGGGCAAACCACGGAAGGCGTGACCTGGACGTGGGCTTGGGAGGCTGTCAGTGCGCAGGAGACGCCTGCAGGTGCAGACGGAAACCCCTTCTGCAGCAGCCCAAGCGAGGACGCGCCGTGGAGACAGTCGTCGGGGCGTGGCGCCCCGCCCGGCGAGCCTCAGAGCGGTGGGGCGATCGTGCGCGACACGGTGACTGCGCGTTTGGTCCGTCCCCTGGAGGGTGGACCCCGAAGCAAAGAGCCGATGTGCGTTAATAACGTGGGGCTGCATCCGTGGCGACATGGCCGGAGCTGGAAGGGGCGGCACTCGGGCAAATAAGCCAGAGGGAAAAAGAAAAAGACCAGGTGGCTTCACAACAGGACGAAGAGAGGGGACAGGAAAGACATTAATGAAAACAGAAAATGACCCGGCCCGTGGAAACCAGAGCCCTCCAGCGGGGGATCAGCCGGGGCCGGCAGCCGAGAGGAGAAAGCCAGCACTGCACGAGGAGGAACAGAGACGCACGATAGAAAGAAATTAAAGAAAAGTGCAAGGTGTGGTTGACCAGCTGCACCCCTGGAGGGCTCGGTGCAGGGAGAGAACTGTGCAAATCTGAGAGATTTTCACCCCTTTGAATAACGGGGCCCAATTTCAACGCCGCTCCGGTGCAACGCCGAATCCTGGCCGTCCTCACCCGAGCACTCCACCTGTGCTTCCCCCCAACACACCCCTCTTCCAAGGTGTGCCCCCCCCCCCGCTTTGGGTTAAAAGCAGGAGAAACCGGGAGACTCTCAGGCACACACAAATTGGGGCGCCGTCCGGCTCCCTCTCTGCAGAGACGGTCAGAATCCAGCCTGCCCTTGCGGTCCCTCCCCACAGACGCGGGCAGCATTCCATGCCGTTCGGGTCTCGAGCCAGAATCTCATTTGTAAAGCCCAGAGACCATTAACCATTTAATTTTTCATAAGATTGATCCCAGCAAGGTCTGACCGATTTCTCTCCTCCAAATTCCGAGCAGAAGTCTCCCGGGGGACCCCGCTCGCGGTACGACTCTTGTTTTCAGAGCGCTGCGTCGCACGTCCGAGGCCCACAAATATTATTTTTCAGCAAGGTGCTCGAGGTATAATGATACCAATTTATACAGGAATCGAGCTTGGAATTACCGGGGTGGGCTGCGGGATGGCCCACAAATGAAATGTTTTATTTCACAAGCCTTCGCACTCTGCTCCCCCGAATGAAACCAATACAGAAAATAAGCCGTCTCGAGAGCTCCTGGTATTTAACGAGACAGCCGGCGCGGGCGTGTCGGGAATGCACGCCTTGCCGCCTTGCCGAGCAGACGTCTGTGACCCTGACTGTGAAAGTCTGGGTGCCTCTACCTTCTCCAGGAGGGGGTGAGGGTCACAGAGCAGGCCCAAGTTCCAGAGAGTTCCTTCAGTGCCTGGATTCAAGCCACAAAGAAGTGCAAGGCCAAGAGTGTGCCAGGCAGGACGGAAGCGTTGCCCAGGTAGAATCAGGCGTGACCTCAGGTGTGCAACTGGGAGCCTGTGAGAAGCTGGACCCGACAGAAGTGGACCTGGTTAGAATCTCCACGGCCTGTCTCTGAGTGGAGGTGAGAATGTGGATCAGCTCACTCAAGACGTGCCTCTTAGCTCTGACAACGGAGTTAAAGAAACGACCGAAGAGCTCAAAGACAGGTGAGTGCATTAGGAAGACGTGGTCTGCATCCACACCGTGGAATACTACTCAGCCATGAAAAAGGATGACTCAAGCTCTGCGCGGGAACACAGAGGGAGAAACAGAAATATTTGATGGTTTCTGTCTCATGTGAAATATCTCTAGAAATCAACCAAAGGAACAGACAAAACTAACCCCAAACAAACCCTAATATCTGATTGCGGGATCGAGGCTCCCTGAGGGGGCTGTAGGGCGAGTGCTGCGGACTAAGGGGTGAGGGGCATCACGGACTGTGGTGCGGGATTACGGAGCTCTGTGGCAGGGTGTGGTGTGGCCACGTACATCTGAAAATTCAGGGGGCGAACCCCTAAATCATCTACCACATTGTCGACCAATTTTACCAATAAAAACAACACATTTTAAAACAAGTCTCGGGGTGTCTCACTAAATCTTTGCTCTGGACACTCATTACCCTTTGTTTCTTCGAGGTAAGACTCAGACAAAATCAGGCAGCGAGGTGCTGTGAAGTAACGAGTCACCTTTTTGGAAGCAGCAGGCTCATTAAGGAAAAAAAAACAAAATCTTTGTAAAAGAAGAATTTCCAGGGAGGACCAGGAGACCCTGATAAGGAATAAGCCCCCCCTTCATTCCACGGAGCAAACTCCCCCAAATCATTTACTAAATGATTTTTAGTCAGCGCTTCACCTGACGACAGGTGAGCAGGAGGACTCAAACATCCCCAAGGAGCTCATCTCTCCTCTCGCACCATTTATTCTGTGTCTCGTAGCCTGGGGACCCCAAAGGCAATTCTCTGCTGGCTTATGTGGCCTCAGGAACCCCCCCAGCCACACACCGGGGCATATTTGTCAACGTACAAAGGGGTTTATTGTCTGCAGGAGAAGCTATGCTGATCTCACGTGGGTGAACTCGCTTCCCGGAATCAACGCTCAAGCTCTCTAAACCTGATCTTCTGGCTCACATGAGCTCCAGGGATCCACCAGAGGGGACATTTGCAAGCACGTGAGTTATCGACGGGATAAAAGCAAGTTCAAAAGCTCACACGCGAAGGAGAAAAGGACAGCGCAGAACCCCAATAAAAGCCCTCAGACGGGACCATTGAGCTCCATCCCGCAAGCAGGTCCAGGGGCAAAATTGAGGCTCTGTCGTCCTGTGGGGGCGGGGGCGCTGTGTGTCTCTAAAAATACCCTTCGGAAGGCAGCTATGCTCACCACTATACCACCAACGCACCTTTCTGGACCTACTCAACATAGAGCTTCCATAGGATCCAGCAATTCCACTCCTAGGTATTTACCCAAAGGACACAGAAACATCCATTCCAAAGAGCACCTGCACCCCTATGTTTATAGCAGCACTGTTTACAATAGCTAAGCTTTGGAAACAACCCAAATGCCCAAAAACAGATGACTGGATCAAGAAGATGTGGTTCATACACATAATGGAATATTACTCAGCATTGAAAAAGGATAAACACATGCAATTTTCAGCAACATGGATGGAGCTGGAAGGGATCATGCTCAGCGAAATAAGCCAGAAAGAAAAAGAAAAATACCAGATGGTCTCACTCATAGCAGGAATCTAGAAAACCTAAATAAGGGACCAGGAAAAAGAATAACTATAAGAAAGTGAAAATCAAAATCAGCAAACAACTATGAACCAGAGACACTCTATGGGGGGTGGGGGCGGGGAAAAGAGGGATTGGGGTCAAAATAAGGGGGTTGTAATTGTATGGGGAATATAAAAATAAAATTTATTTAAAATAATTAATAAATAAATATACACCATGGAATATTACTCAGCAAACAAAAAGGATAAACACATGCCATTTGCAGCAACATGGATGGTGCTGGAAGGGATCATGCTCAGCGAAATAAGCCAGAAAGAAAAAGAAAAATACCGGATGGTCTCACTCATAGCAGGAATCTAGAAAACTTAAATAAGGGACCAAGAAAAAGAATTAGTATAAGAAAGAAAATATCAAAATCAACAAACAACTATGAACCAGAGATACTCTATGGGGGTAGGGGGTGGGAGGGGAGGGATTGGGGTCAAAATAAGGGGGTTGCAATTGTATGGGGAATATAAAAATAAAATTTATTAAAAAAAATACCCTTTGGTTGTGCCTAATTTTTAGAGAGAAGCAAGCAAAATATTGTGATAGTGAAAAAAATCAGAAGACGTGGGGTTTTCTTACGAGGCTCCGCACGGGTGCTGCTAAACGCAATGTGGGCCCCATTAGCCCAGAGCAGATGGACGCGAAGACTCTTCCCTATGCAGAACACACAGCATGCAGCTCTTGCAAAAGGGTGGGGCCTCGGGACCCCACCCTCTGGGGGCAGAGGTGACGTCTATGCCTCCTGATCAAAAAAGACAGATGCGTGGCATTTGCAGCAACACGGGTGCAGCTGCGAGGGAGGGTGCTAGTGAAATTAGTCACAGGGAAAATAAAAATATTGGATGGTCTGACTTACACGTGGAACAGGGAGAAAGCAAACAGAAGGTCAAGAAAAAGTCAAAACTAGCAGCTGACCCTAGATCTGAGGCACACGGCAAGGGAAGAAGAGGGAGG